GCAGTCCTTCTCGGCTTGCCCGCCGCATCGTCGATGCCCAGGTTGATGGCGGCAGCGCATGGGGCCCCGCCGACAGCACCTAGGCCTCGGCGGACCTCCTTAGCAACGAGGGGAGACGAGGCGACTACGGCCGCCTTGCTAACAGAGAAAGCGCAGCCTAGATCGGACTTGATCGCAGCCTGCAACTTGAACGTGCCTTCAATAAGGTCCTGAACGACAGCCCTGGGACGCCCATTACACGACAAACACAGTCATCTATATAGACACGCAGGGAAACCGATCTAGGAATGCCATGGCCGTCTAAGGCCGCAAGCGAGAAGACGCGAATGAACGTGGTCGCGAATCCACAGCCAGCTATCAAGCCACGCCAGGCAAACTGCGGGCCCTCGACACGCCCGTTCATGGCCATATATCTGCAGGAACGGCAGGCCGAGTAGCAGACGCGAGCGATCTGCATCGGGAGCGAGTGCTGGCGGCAGCGGGCGAGGAGGAGGTCAGGGTCCACGGACTCGTAGAATTTGAAGATCCCAGAGCACCAAACCTGAACAGTCCTGGGAAGCAACCGCGACCTCGCTCGGAACCCCCTGCCTCCACGCCGTGTCGACGCCAGAGGCAAGGGCACCAGCGCAGAAATGCTCTCGGGCGCGGGCGGACTCCCATTGCTGAGCAAAGCTGCGCCGCGCCCTCGCCCATAAACGATAAATGAAAACGAACGATCCCGCCGGGCGGCGCCCCTCGTCGGGCTCGGCAAGCACGGTCAGCAGGACGGCCTTCATCTGCCCGGGCAGCAAACCAGATCGCCCCCACATCGCGAACATGATCGCCAGAACCTCCAGGGCTTGATCGGACGAGTGCTGACACGATCGAACGTGAAACCCATCCACAGACGAAGCCGCGCGGGCCGGGAACGAGCGGGCCGCTCGGCGAAGGTCGTCCACCGAGAGCTCGGGCAGAGGATCGAGGGGCTCGCGTCTATCGCCGACTCGACACGGATCGGGCAAGGGCTGCGCGTGCCAGAACAGCGCAAATTTCTCGAGCTCAGACGATAAGAACGCCCCAGGGTCCGACACCAAGTTGCCCTTGGCGGAAAGGGCCGCAGAGGGGGTCCACCCAGCGGCCCGGCGAACAACCCCGTGAGCATGGCGGGCTCCATTTTCATTGTTATGACGAATCCACTCCAGCCAGCTCTCGCGGTCCTCCTGGCTGGCCTTGCTCTCAGCTGCAGCGAGGGCCTGGGAAACCAAGTCGCGCGCGCGCCGGGCCCCCCCCCCCCCCCCCCCCCCTCAACCTCGGACCCATGGAGGGGGGGGATGATATCTTGCACGGCCTGGAGGAGGGCGAGGTCATCGCCGTCCCAAGAGCCGAGCATCAAAGGAGGATGGAGCAGCTCGCCCGCCGTCTCCAACAAGTGCTGCTGCCTGCGCTCCTCAGAGCCGGGTGCAAAAACAATGGCACGGGAGCGATCGCTGGCCCCCGCACCGCTCCGAAATCGTTTTTTTCCGAAGCCGCCGCAGGGAAAACGGGGGGGGGGGGGGGGGGGCGCTACATGCGTCGCTCGGCACTGGGGGCCGGCCCGCGCAGCTGGAGCCAGAGGCGGTAGCGCGAGCACAGCCACCTTAAGCTGGCAGCGCCCCTCGGCGCGCGGGAAGTCCCAGACATCGAGCGGTGAGACGCGTCGACAACATTGACCCAGTGGAGCTGCGCCTGGCGTCCTCTGGCGCCGCGGACTGGAAACTGAATCTAAAAACACCCTCGAGCTCCTTTTTCAACTGATGTGCCCCTTTCTCGATACAGCACGTCCAAGTTGCACTGAGTCTGGTCCGTTTCACCTCTCTCAGCAGGAGCGAGGGCTAGGGGGGCCATCCGAGACACAAGACCCAAATCCCTGGACGGCCGGAAGAGAGGGCCAGGAGGGCGGGCCGTCGGAAACGGTGGAGGGTTCCTGAAGGTGAGGGCGCAGCGGGACGCCAACTGAGGGTGAAGCTTGACGGGCGCAGGATCATGGGTCGCCAGATCCGAATCACTCATTATCTTCACGCTCGCGATAGCTTGAGCTACCCGCGCCCCCACCAACAGGTAAGCATACATCGTAATTTCCGCAGTCGACGTGCGAGCGCCCACAACTCCAGAAGGAAAGCACACTTCGGCTCCGAACCTGGACGGGACATGAGAGGTGCCTCCAAAATCGCGCTGTTGCGCAGGACTTCCCCACAATGCATGCAGGAATCGCGCTCTCGCGCGTCACTTCCTCGCAATCTACCTCCCCCAACTACACTCAGGAATCATGTTCTCGCGTTGGCCGTTCTCGCGATTTCCTTGGGGATCGCGCTATTACTCGAGACTTCTGCGCGACTCATGCAGGACTCACGCTTCAGCAACCCGCCTTCTCAACCTGGCCGCCTGGGTCCGCCTTCCCGACCCGCCCGCTATGGCGCGAGCGTGCACAAGCGGCCATGGACTCGCGAATCCATGGCCACGAGAAGCGGCCTTGCCCCAGCACTCCATCGGGAACGCCATGCCCGCGCCCCCCCCCCCCGCGCAGCCTCATTAATGCCCGAGCCCAACACAATCCTGGCACGACACGTCGATCATGTTCGGAACATGATCGACATGCGCGAGCAGGAACTTCCTGCTCGCGCGATCAGTGCGATCGACGTTGCAGTTGGGGCACTGCAACCACATTCGGACTCCGAACATTCCCGGAAATACTACATGCACTGATGATAAGTAATGGTAGCAAATTGACACATGGCCTTGCGCGTTCCAGCGTTGCCGCGCGAAAATGCAGCGGAACTTCGAAGGCCTCCTCTTCCCCGCGAGGACCATCCAGCGCAGAATGCTGTCAGAACCGGGCCGGCAAATGCCGGCAGCAGTTCGGTTTTCTTGAACGAGGGACTTCGCCATCTCCACAGAGCAATGCGTCGTTCTTGCACGCTCTGGAAAAATCGAGATCATGTCCGAACGCCTGCGGTTCGGAGCGACACTCACGAAGACCACCTTCCCGTAGACGCCGTGACATCCGAAGCAATAGTGCCCGATCTTCTGCCGCATCGCCTGGCAACCAGTTTTGTTCGACGCACTGTTCAAATAAGCCCTAGAACTCACCATCTCTTGCGGCGCGATGCTATGGGCCGCGAGCAACTTGCGCATGCACCCATTGTGCGGCGGTTTAGTATTGTTGATGATGCCTCAATTCGACTCTGTACGCTTCCAGATGGACTTCGCGGCCACGACCAGGTTGTCGGAATGTTGGCTCATCACTTCTCCGCGGGACAGTGTCTGATTATAAAACAATGAACGCCGAGCGCACCGCGTCATAGCGCCAGTACAGATTCCGCGCGGCTGGGACAAGCATCCAATCACCCGCCACCTGCGTATCTGATCACGTCGACAGCATCTTACTGCAGCGGCCAAACTTTACCACCGGCTCGTCTTCAATCCTTCGCACCCGTTGCCGGATGCCCACTTGCAACATCCTCTGCTCGAGGTCACACAACTCGCCCCAATGCCCAAACAACTTCGGAAACTCTGCGCAGCCGCAGTCGTAGTTCGGCGCCCACGGAAACTCCTGGGGGACGCATGTGTTCACATACTGCTCCTGCAACACATTGCTCATGGGAACATGCGCGCTCAGTTCAGGAAGTTGTCAGCAGCACGGACAACCACATCTTCTGAAACGTAAGCACCTGTGATTTCTGCTTCGCCGACAACAACATAAAGTCGCATATTCGTAACGCCGTCCTCCGCTGAGGGGGCACTGTCATGCATAGAACTCTGACTCTTGTCGAACGCGGATTCATCGCGCGTTGCTCTCCGGATATTGTCGCATGGTTTCCGCGAGATGCTGCGCGCCGGGTAGGATCCTTCCAGGCTCGGAGCCGACTTAGCTCTCAAGGTCTGTACAACTCGTCCGCGCGCCTATCGACGCGCTCCTGCAATGAAGCCAGGATGGTCGCGCATTGTCAAACCCCTGGATCTTCGAGACCCCCCCTCGTTGCCCCAAGTTCCCCACTTTGTTGTCAATTCAAATGCGGGACATGCGGGGTACTTCATTGACGACCTTCAATCTCACGTGCAGGTCTCGAACTTTTCCGACAACGCAACGCCTCCGACCCACTCGTGAACTCGACGCGCGCGACCTGGCAGGGCAGCGGCGGGCACACCTGCCATTTGAGAGGTCGCCGCCCTGACATTTCTGGCGCAGCTGCTGCGCCGCATCTTCCCACGAAGGTAGAAACGAAAACCGGTTTCCGCGCGCTTTGCAAGCGGCCTCAGCTTTCCCAGGAGGAGTGTCCGTAAGATTGCGCCACTGGGACGGGTCCCCGTTCCACGTCACAGGTCGCGAGGCCCGCGGACACCGGGGCCGCAACCGTCGCTTCGAGCCACGTCAGTTTTTGCTCCACGATGAACTTGTATGCGTCTCCTATGAAGTTATCGTTCGCCATGCCTGCCAGATTTTTCCCGAAGGGGCGCGATCAACAGCACTAATATACACAGGTGCGTTACCTGTTCTACAAGCGCGCTCGCATCCCTGTCAAAGACTGATCGGGCGAGATGACTTCCAAAACGGTCCTAAAGCGACCCCCAGAGGCCCCCAGAAACAGCCCGAGGAGGCTCCAATAATAGGCCCAAGGAGGCCTGCAAGAGGCCCCTCAGAGGCCCCCAAGAAGCTCCTACAGTAGGAAGCTCCTAGGAAGCTCATCCTCGTCCTCGTCCTCCGTCTCCTTCTTCTCATCCTAATTTCTCTTTCTCTCCCAGAACGGCTGGGGGAACACATAGTCCAATAGCGTGGCCAGACTTTGGGCCAACGTTTGGCCGCACGGGCGTTTCCAAAAGAAAAGGGGCGGCGGTGGTTCGATGTAAGCGTCTTCGACACTTCAAGGCGCAAGCGAAGCACACAGCTGCTGAATAGGCTCTGGTCCACACTGCTGCTTCATTGGTCCATAGGCACCCTGAGAAGGGAGAAGGAGAGGAGGACCGTACCTGCATCACTGATGTCTCGAAAACCATGTACCATCAATGCTTCCGCTCGGCACCTCCGGCCTCCTGGGAGGTCTGATCGGCATCCCTGCGCATAGCTACCCCATTGCTGCCTCGTGGTCGCAAGATGGCTGATGCTTTTCGAGCCTCCGCCACCGCCACGCTCCGACGAATGCAGGCGGCCATCATTGCGATCCACTCTTGTTCTTGTCCCACTTGGTCTTCGACACGAACTTTCTGCCCTTCAGCCTGGACAGCCATCTCAACGTCCCTCCTTTCGGATCATCCATCCTCCTTCTCCTCCTCCCCCTCCTCCTCATTATCGTCCCTCATCTCCTCCGCGCTCTAAATCATCCTCCGGCCTCTCCTCCTCTTCCTACATCGTCCTCCCCTCCTCCTGCTACTCCTCCACTCCTCTGCACCTCCCTCATCCCTGATCCCTTGAGCCTGTGCAGCTCTGGCGTGTCATCCCATGGGTCCACCGTCATGCGGTTCATCGGCGAGTCCACGTTGGTGCCGCTGCACACATCGTCCCACCCGTAGCCCTTGTAGGGTAAGGCAGCTTGGCGGACAAAAAACTGTGATTAGCTCATGCTCTCTCAAGGCCTCCATAGAGCTTTTAACATCTGAGAACGTGCGAGGGGATTGAAATGAACACGGCAGGTTCCTGCCGTGACAAGGACCGGGCTTCTGAAACGGCGTGGACCGCTCAACATGAAACGATCTCCGATCTCGACGGTCTCCAGTCCCTTGACACCCTCTCTCGAAGGGGCCCTCGATGGGCCACCAGAGGGCTTCCGACATCGAACGCCCGCGCTGGCGCCGCCGCGCGCGTCGGGGTGGCACGAACACGCCGCAGCTCCCCAGCCCTGTCTGGCCTTGCCCGTCTTGGTGTTCTTCGTGCCGGGCCCGCGGCCGTAGCCCGACCCGAAGAGGCGCTGGGGGCGCATGTGGTCGATGCGGATATCCGTCTCCTCGCAGGGGAGAGGGTGGTGAGGAGGCAGGGGAGGACGAGGGCGAGCAGGACGAGGGCAAAGCTGGGGAGGACCCAGAACTGCGACGCCGTGTTTTTCTCACGACACGGGCGCTTGCTCGGGGCAAACTTTTTCGTCGCGGATCGTCGCGCCCTGGGGACCGACCCCAAACTTCAACGTCGTGACCTGCTCACACCTCGACCCCCAGAGGCCTGGACCCCTTCCCAGGACCGGTTCTTCGTCCAGGTTCCTTTTTTCACGGTCCCGAGGCCGATGGAAAGCTTCCGAAGGCTGATCACGGCCACACACCTCCCATCATGCGTGTTTTTTTTGTTGTTGTGCGGTAGAGGGAAACAATTAGTGAACACCCCCCCTGCCCCCCAAACTCAAAGTTGGCACGCGCGGGGGAGCCTGCGGTCGAGGTGCAACTCGTCAGACCCACCGCCAACTCTGAGCATTGGGGGGAGGGGGAGGCGTTCACAGACGAACGTGGCACGAGTGCTCGCGATTTCTTTCCGAGGCCTGCATCCACCCCCCCCCCCTCGTCATCACCCCCCTCTTCGCTTGGGCGCCCGAACTATCCGGGGTAACTCGGGTCCGGGGTAAGTCGGGTTCGGAATCCCGAAAAACCAACCCGAGTTAGCCCTGACCCGAGTTACCCCTGATGATTCGGGGCTCTGAACGCCCGAATTATCCGGGGTAAGTCGGGTCCGGGGTAAGTCGGGTTCGGAATCCCGAAAAACGAACCCGAGTTAGCCCTGACCCGAGTTACCCCTGATGATTCGGGGCTCTGATTTGCCGCCCCCGATTCCAGGCGCTCCGTGCCGCGTCTCGGGTACCGTCCGGGACGCCTCCGGGGCCGCTCGGGAGACCGTCGGAGGCCCGGAGCCCCCCTTGTGCGCTGCCGGGGCCTCTTCTTTGGAGGCCCCCGGCGTTTTTCGGGGCCTCCTCGGCTGCCTTGGGGCGGTCTTCGGGGCGCCTTCGGCCGTCTTGGAGCGTTGGAAGCTCGAGCGCGCGAGAAAGCCGAGCGCATCGAAGAAAGCGACCGAAACTCGAGGAGATGGGCCTCTTCTCCGAGGCCTGTATCACGACGAGGCCTGTATCACGACGGGGGAGAGGTGCCAACCGACCCTCGAACCTCTTCGCGCTGGGCAGCCCCGCGTGTGCCCGCACGGCCAGCACTGCGAACCTCCCTCCTCCGCCTCCTCCTCCTCCTGCGCCTCCTCCTCCTCCTGCGCCTCCTCCTCCTCCTCCGCCTCCTCCTCCTCCTCCTCCTCCTCCTCCGCCTCCTCCGCCTCCTCCTCCTCATCCTCCTCCTCCTCCTCCTCCTCGCTATCTTTTCCCGAGGCCCCTGTCACGACGAGGGGGCAGGCGGGGGAGACGGGGGCCTCCGCGGGGCCCGCGCGGGCTCCTCTCCTCGGGGCCCCTTACAGGCCCGCGGCCCGCACGGCCCCCCGCGCAGCGCCGTGCAGACAGCGGCTGGATCCGCGCCGGCCTTCTGGCCGCGGCGCGTCGGTCATCTCTCTCCTCGAGAAGCGCCCCCCTCTCCTCGAGGAGTCGCCCCCGTCTCCTCGAGAAGCGTCCCTCTCCTCGGGAGGCGCCCCCGTCGCCTCGGGAAGGCGCCCACGTCTCCTCGAGAAGCGTCCCCTCTCCTCGGGAAGCGCCCCCGTCTCCTCGAGAATCGCCCCGTCTCCTCAAGAATCGTCCCTCGAATCTGGAAGCGCCCCCTCTCATCAGGAAGCGCCCGCCCCCTCTCCTGAAGAAGCGCCCCGTCTCCTCGAGAAGCGTCCCTCTCCTCAGGAAGCGCCCCCCCTCCACGAGAAGGCGCCCCCCCCCCCCGGACCCGTCCTCGGGGTGCGCCCCTGGCCGCAAAACCGGGGGGGGAGCCAGAGGCCACAGGCGCCCCCTGGAGGCTCAAAGGGCGGCGAAAGAGGTCAAAATGTTTTTGAATGGGGCCCTGGGACACGCGAGTGAATAGACACAAATAACAGGATTCCCCTATATTATCCCATGGTTTCTGTTTTTTTTTGTCTTCCCGCCCACTCCCACATTTTCCCATAATTTCTAAGTAATCGACGATTCATTGTGTCAGTGTTTTTGTTTTTTTTGTTTTTCCTCCTGAGTTTTGATGCTTAGCGGCGACGATCACAAACGGGTCTTACGCGAGATGACATAGCGACCTTGCGCCGAAGCTTACGCGGGCCGCAGGCGCGGCACGCCGCACTAGAAGCGAGGACGCTCACGCGCGAACCTACGCGGGCATCTTGCGCGACACATGGCGGCGCAGACGACTCCGTTTGCTTGGCGTCGCTCAACTGACCGCGCCGGCCTTTGTTCGCGACGTATGGAAATCTGGGCCCCTGTCCTCCAGAACCGCCCTTTTTGGGTGTCCCAAAACCGTGTGGTGACAGACCCGGCGGTGATCTCGAAATCCGCAAAGACCTCACCGCACGGTCCGTCACCACACGGTTTTGGGACCCTGGAGGCTCCAGTCGCCCGAAACATCCTCGGAGAACGACCCAGGTCCCAAAACCGTGCGGTGACCCCGAATCCCCACCGACTCACCACACGGTGTGGTCACCACCCCGTTTGGGAGCCCCCGACCCTTCGGACCTGCCCCTGGAGTGCGCACCGGGGCCGTGGAATCGGAAGGGGGGAGCTGGCCCCGTGGCGACGATGCGCCCACCTGGAGGCCCAGAAAAAGGCGGCGAGAGAGGTCCAATTGCGCTTCTGCTTCGAACGATCCTCACCGAAACCTTCGGCGTTCGTTCCCGAATCCGGTGCTGTTCGTTCCTCTGGCCAGCTTCACCTCGGCGCGCATGTCGCGTTGGATAGGACGCCCTTTCTCGGTCGCTGCTGGATTGTACTCTGCCACGTTTTTTTCGTTTCTGTTCTGTTCTATGCATCTACGGTTTTCGTTTCCTGTGGCCAGCCTTGCGTCGGAGCGCAAATTGGACGCGAAAAGAACACTCAATCGGTCGTTGCTGCATTCTACCGTCATCATAGATACTATTTGCATATATGTTCTATCCTGTAATGGTATAGTGCCTTCTGCCTTGTTCTGGACGGGCCAGCGTTACGTCGCGACGTTTGTCACGTCTGATGCGTCGTCCGGACGGTCGTTGCTGCGCCTCCTGTTCCTGTGGCCACCCTGACCTCGGCGCGCACTCCCCGAATGGTAGGGCACCGTTCATCGTTCGCTGGTGTTTTCTTTGCTTGTTTAGCTAACAACGTCCGTTTCTGGACTGCTGGGGCTTCTTGTGATACGTCACGTTAAGTTCTGTGTTTGTTTCATTACATGTCGTTACAACATGGACTGTTATGCTGCGTTGGCTTAACATCGTTGTTTCATGTCAATACGCAACAGTAGTATATATATATATATATAAATGTATGGTGTTGTAGTTGCATATATCTACGTATGGTATCGTAGGTTGGGTTGTGTCCTGATGTGTCATACCCTGTTTTAGCTGGGTCAGTGTATCATGCCGTACTCGTGTAGTGCATTCATATGTCATACTTGGAGGTGTTTCCAACATTTTGAAATTAAAACCATTCTGAAATTGCGTTCCACGTATGTTATGCCGTACATGCGTATGTATCATTACACGATGTTCCAATACAGTGCATGCAAAATATGTTATGTGTTACTAGGATGTCCGCGCCCGCTGCTTAAATACGGTCCATCTATTATATCGAATTGCGCCCACACTTGTTTATAATATTTTTTAATAGATCCATATGTTTGCTACGTTGTTCAACGTGCGGGTAATCCATTGCATTGCGCTGTACTATGCGATGGTATTATATGATGTTCTTCCTTGGTTATTGCATACACGAGCCCGTTATAACATCGTCGGCGCCGAAATGGTACATGCCGTGCAGAAAGTCTGTTCGGTTCTGGTTTGTTGTGTGTTGCTGTCCGATATTACGCCCCGCTTGGTCACCATATGTTTTGTTCTGATACGACATGATCGGTAACGTAGTGCTGCGTTATGTCTCACGCTCTGCCATGCCATGGTAATCGCTGGTGTCCAGTGTTATGATATGGCGCACAACTACATGAACTTATTTGTTCACTTGCTAATACGAATGTACACTATGAAACGGTAGTCAGATGCCCCACTGTGGAATGGTATGTTATGCTATGCGCGCTGTCGCAGCGATACTGGTCGGCGAACAGTCTTGGCATGCTGAAATATCTTCGATGGGCCCTGATTGTGGCGCTATGGCGGAGAAATGGCGAAGGAGGCAGCGGCGATGCACCCCTTTTCGGGCGGCGGTTCTGGAGGCCCCGGCTGAGAGCCCCCGCCGCCCCCAGGAACTCGACGCGCCGGCGCGGTGAGCGAGCTGCTTTGGAGCGGCCGAGCGCCTGGCCCCAAATTGCATCAGGCGCCGGGAGGTTGAGCGGGGTGCACTCGTTGGCGCGCGGAGGCGCCCTCCGACGCCCTTGGCAGATCCTCGGGCGCCGCGCGGGCCCTGGGGGCCCTGTTGCACCCTGCGCACTCACGTTGCTGAGATTGTCCTTCTCTTCCAGCGCGCTCGCTGGCGGCTGGCGGGGCCCCGCCTTCGCGGGGCCGCGCGGCGGCCGGCGCCCCCGCCAGTCCGCGGGCGCGGCCCCCGCCCCGAAAGGTCGCGCGGGGACCCGCCATTGCCAGCGCCCTCCCCTGCAAGGTTTCTTTCTCCCGCCAGCGCGCGGGCGCGGCTTCCGCTCCGACGGGTCGAGCAGAGCCCCGCCGCTGCCGGCGCCCCCCTCGGCGGGCCGCCGCCGGGCTCGCCCGCCCGCGCGCGGGCGCGCCCGAGCGAGCCCCCCTGCGTTCCACTTGACGGGCGCCACTTCCCTCTGGGGCCCCCCCCCCCCCCCCAGTGGCCAGCCAGTCCCCGCCGGCGCGAGCTCGGCCGCCCGCTGCCCAGAGGCCCCGTTCTCGCCGGGCCCGTCGACGCCAACTCGCGCGGGCCACTGCAGAACCCTTCCCCCGACGACGCCGCCTCCGCGACGCCTGGGCGCCCCCGCCCAGCCGCAGTCGCGCTGCGCGGGCGGCGCCGCGCTCGACCATCTCCGACGCCGCTCGGCCGACCAAGCCGCTCTCGTCTCCGAGGCCTGCGGCGCAGGCGGTGAGTCGCAGCGAAGGTCGATTCCGACCCGCTCGAGGACCCCCGCGCCCTGGCCCCCTCGCCCTGGGGAGCCGAAGTCGCCAGCGAGGACGACGCCGACGAGGGCGGCTCGCCCCCCGCGCCCCTTCGAGCCCATCGCCTCTAGGCAATCGGCGCGGGCGAATTGCCCCGCGGGCAAGACGCCGCCCGGCAAGCGGAGAATCACTCGCAGCGCGGCGCCACACCGCCCGGCCCATCACTCCGATCGCGTTGCCGCGGGTCTCGCCCTCGAGTTCGACGGTCATTGCGCCGCGCCCGCCCTCGAAGATCTTGATGACCAGTGCGCGCCGCTGGCGTCGGTGACGAGCCAGAAGAGAACCTCGCGCTGGCCCCCGCAGTTGCCCCGGACGCAGCCACCCCCCCGCTGGCCCCAGCGCCCCCCCCCCCAGCGGCTCCTGCGTCGGATCGATTACTCACCGCAAACGCGCGCGCGCTCGCCAACGCGTTCGAGACGCATCTTGCCGTTTGCGCCCTCCAGAACAACCGACACTCATCAGGAGCAGTTGCAATGGAGGCGACAGCGCAGCTGCCCCTCGAAATTGTCGGCGGTCTTGCCCGCTTTCACCGCGCCTGCAAGGTGTTCACGGGGCCAGTCGCCGCGGTCTTCTACGCCGCTATCCTCGACCGCCTCTGGGACGGCCCAGTTAGCCGCCCCCTGGCCCAGGCGCGCGGCCAGGCGCGCCGTCGCGCGGGCTGGGCCCCCGTGCCGAGGGGTCGCGCGGAGCCCCGCCAACGCTCGCGCTCGCGCCCGCATTCGGGCCCCTCTAGCTGCACCGCAGACCTCTTACTTCGCGAGGTCAAGCGGCTCGTTCGGGCCCGCCCCGGCCAGGCGCGCCCGCGCCGCCTTCCCGGGACGCTCCGCGGCTGACCCGCCGCCCGCGGCCCGCGCGCCCCCTGGCGAGCCAGGCCCTCAAGTCCGGGGGCCCCTGCACGCGCCGCGCGGCGCCCGCGCCGTCGCGGAAGGCCCTGTCGGGCCCTCGATGCACTCGTCGCTGCGCGGCGCCCCCTCGCCTCCGAGTTGGCCTGGGGGGCCCGAAGGCGCGCCTTCCTTTTCTGCTCGCCGCGCCGCGGTGAAGATGTCGGCGCGGCCGTCGGGCTGCCGCGGCCCCCGAGGGCGCCGCCGTCGGGCTCCGAGAGCGCCTCGATCAGGTCTGGCCGCGTCGGGCGCCAGTGCGCAGAGGCCGCGGCGGCACCCCTCCTGCGCGGCGCTTGACGGGGAGGGGGTTGCCCCGCTCTCGCCGACGTGGATTCCGCGCCCGCCAGGCGGGCCGATTTTCGCATGGGGCCCCCTCCTTCGCACCCTTGGGCGCTCGTCCTGCGCCGCGCGCGCGTCTCCCGATCGGCTCCAGGCGGGGCCCCCCCACTTGCTCGGCGGGGCCTCGGCGTTGCCCCCGTCGACGCCGACGTCGCCGCCGACGTCGCCGCCACCGAGCAGGCGAGGTCCTCGGGCTGTTCGAAGAGGCCGCCCGCCTGCTCGCTGCCGGCCAGTTGCACCCGCAGCGCCTGCAAGGAAAGTTTGCGAGCACGTCGGAGACGTGGTCCTCCCGCCCTGGGAATGCGAGCGGGCGCTGCGCGCGGGCGTTGGCGGCTTGCCCCCCTTGCCCCTGGCCATGGGTCGCGGGGCGGCGAGAGCCCGCGCGCGCCCCGCTCAAATCGCGGACTGCAAGAGGGACTACATCTGGCCGCGGCGCGACGACGCCGGCCTGGCGATGCGCCGAAACCTCGACGGCTGGCCAGGAGGTGGTCTGGAGGATGCCGGCGCCAGCGCGGGCGGGCGAGATCGCGGGGCCCCTCCTTCCCGAGGAGGTCGCAAGCGTCTGGGCGGAGCGCGCGGCCAACCCTCGACGAGGCGAAGCCACGACACCCCGCGCAGGTTCTTCACGAGGCCATCGTGCGCGACCAGCTGGTCCAGCGCCCCGATGAACGCACTGGCGAGTCGAGCTGCCCTCATCGTCGAACCCTTGCCATCGCCGAGGAGCCCTTCCGTGCTCGCGACGACCTGTTCGACCTCCAGCCGAGCGGATAGACTGGCGTTCGGATGGGAGCCCGCCGCGCGCTCGGTCCAGGCCAGGGCACGGAGGGCCTGATTGGGCAACCGTCGGCCCACGAGGCTCGGCAGCCCTGGCGCGCACGTAGTCGATGAAGTGCACTACCGTCTTCGGCCACGGGACTGTGCGCACGCAGGAGCCATCGGCGCAGCGTCTCACCCGCACGCACGTATGAACCTACTGCGTCAAAGCGTGCGCGGCCCGCGATGCCATGCAACGCCGGCGCCGGGCCCACGCAGGACCGCGCCACCTCCAGCGAGGGCGCCTCCATCTCGTCGAGCAGCTGGGGCAAGCAAGGTCTCTAGCGGGCTCAGCTCGGGCCTTCAGCTCGCCGCGACCCTCCTCGTCAGCGGCGCGGCACCGTAGCGGTTCCTTGCTAACGCACGGGACCCTGGCGGGGGAACGGCCTCACGCTGCTACTGAACACACGCGGCCATGAGAGTCGTCACGGCGTTCTCCAGCATGGCTAAGACGTAGCCGCCGCTTCCGCAACGGCCCCTCGTCCACCGCCTGGTCGACGAACCCCTGCAGCAACATCCGTGTCTCCTCCGCACTAAACTCCGCGGCCGCTGCCACCTGCACGAGCCTCTACTCGAAATCGGGCTCGCCCCCATGCAGCGCCAGACAAGAGCCGAAGAACCCACACCCGTGCAAGATGTTGCTGGCCCGCCGCCGTGCGGCGTCGAAGACGCACAGCCCAGAGGCCAGCATGTGCGCCCAACCGTTGCTCAAAATGCCAAAATGACTAAAAACGTCGGACAGAGCGGAAGATACACCTACGCGCTGGTGCGCGGGGACGTATGTTATGATACGGCTCGAATGATTTGGTTTGGGCGCCGCGTGCTAAAACAATGGTTGTATGCGTCAATACACACGATATTGCACATTCGAATAATCCCAGTATTGGTCGCAATACTATAACAAGTTTGCTATATCACGGTGTAGTATTGTATGATACACTATATTACGTCCCGTTATGGGACATGACGGTGTGCGATCTGACGTTGTAATATTGCATCTAGTAGAATGTTGTTCCGCTCTTGTACACCATGTTATGATATGGAATGCAATGCGATGTTGTGTTGGTGTGGTATGGTCATCATATTGGGGTCTGCCATGCTGTATTATGCCATGCGTTGTGCTGCCATCATATGGGTGTTGTGACGTATGTGTGAACTTCCACTGCGTGCTTCGACGACGATTGTTCAACCCTCTTTGGTCATGCGTCGTGACGCCTGGACAACGCGACGCCGTGACGCCTCCCCTTCGAGGATGTCTGGTACGCAGGGTGTCGTCACTCATCGAGGACGCGAGGCGGGACACTCAGGGACACTCGGGATCCTGTGGGGTCTCGCGACCGCGGTATGGTGTCATCATTCGTCGAAGACGCGGGGCGGGATACTCAAGAACCATCGGGGTCCTGCGGGGTCTGGCGACCCCTGTATGGTGTCGTCATTCGTCGAAGACGCGAGACGGGACACTCAGAAATCATCGGGATCCTGTGGGGTCTGGCGACCGCTGAAGGCAAGGATGGGCAGACGGGACTTCTTTAAACAAAATATAATAAAACAAGCCCAACCTGCCGGGTAGGACAATCAGCCTCGGCCCCCTCTGGCGAAGCCTGGGGCTACACAGGCGGACGAGCAGCAAAAGCAACGGCGGCAGCGGTCTCCTCGCTGGCCTCGGCAGGGTCCTGCGCAACGTGCCGCGTGCCCCCGCCCCGGACGTGTGCGAGCGCCTGCGCCGCCTTCAGCAGCGGCGCGACCTTCGCCATGCCCGTGACGATCGGCGTCACGTGCGCCAGCCCCCGCTGGATCTCGGAGTCCTTCCAGTCCTCCAGGGAGGGCGCCAGCTGCACGCACAAACACACTTTCTTGCGTCGGCGGCTGGGCAGAGGTTACTGCTCTGGCGGTCGGGCATCAGTGGGGTGCGCTAGATGCAAATTGGGCCGCAGTGCGCGTGAGGAGAGGAGGAGACCCCAGCGCGACGTGAAGAAAGGAAGCCCGGCCCACACACACTTGAGTCGGCGCCCACGCGCGCAGCACCGCAGGGGTCGCAGCGGGTGCGCCGCCGAAGGCGCCACACGCACACACGATTCTACCTCGGCGGCCACGCGCCCAGCGTCACACACAGACACACAGACACAGACACAGACACAGACACACACACACACACACACACACACACAAACAGGCACACACACGCACACACACACACACACACACACACACGCCAGCCCTGGACAGGCCCATCCTGGGCCCAGGATCGGCGTCTTGCCAAGATCGGTGCCGCGGTGAGTGTTTGTGTGTGTGTTTGTGTGTTAGTGTGTGTGTGTGTGTGCGCGTGTGTGTGTGTGTGTGTGTGTGTGGGGGGGGGGGGCGTGTGCGTATACGCCTGCGCGTGCGCGTGCGTGTGCGTGTGTGTGTGCGTGCGCGTGTGCGTGTGCGTGTGCGGGTGCGTGTGCAGGTGCGGGTGCGTGTGCAGGTGCGGGTGCGTGTGCGTGCGTGTGCGTGTGCGCGTGCGCGTGCGTGTGCGTGCGTGCGCGTGCGCGTGCGCGTGCGCGTGCGCGTGCGCGTGCGCGTGCGTGTGCGCGTGCGCGCGTGCGTGCGTGCGTGCGCGTGCGCGTGCGCGCGTGCGTGCGCGTGCGCGTGCGTGTGCGTGTGCGTGTGCGTGTGCGTGTGCGTGTGCGTGTGCGTGTGCGTGTGCGTGTGCGTGTGCGTGTGCGTGTGCGCGTGCAGCTCTCGTCGCACGGTCCTTCGGGTTCAGCGCGCCCACGTTACCGCTGCCCTCCCGCAGCATGGCGGAGTTGAACGGGTAGGCGATGGGCAGCGCCAGCCTCGACTGCAGCAGCCTCTTGGCGGCGAACCCAGGGGGAAGTGAGAGGAGGCAGGTCTTCCGAGAAGGCGGCGGGGCTTCTCGAAGCCCTCGCGCCTTCTGCGAAGCCGACTCTGCCCTCGGAGAAGGCCTCGAAGACTTCTCGGAGGCCGGAGGCCTTCCGAGCCCTCTGAGAGGGCCCGCCCCCTCCGCCCTCCCCCCCCGGGGGGCTCGCCGCCGAACCTTGTGGCCACGGAAGCGCGGGCGAAGAACGTCTTCAGCCTCGCAATCCGCGCCGGGTCTATGTCCCGCAGCGCCGCCGACGAGGCTCGCGCGGCCATGCCGGCCCCGACGCCACCGCGCCGCCGGCGCGCGGCCCACGGGCCACTGCGGGGGGGCGGTCGCCGGCCGGGCCTGGGCCAGGTCGGCTGTGGGCAGCCGTCGCACACAGCCCAGCACAGCGACGGGAACGCGCTCGATCAGAAGTCAGCGATGGGAACGCATTCGAGGAGGATGAGGAGGAGGAGGAGGAGGAGGAGGAGGAGGAAGGAGGGAGGGAGGGAGGGAGGGAGGGAGGAGGGAGGGAGGAAGGGAGGGGGAGGAGGAGGAGGAGGGAGGAGGGAGGGAGGGAGGGAGGAGGGGGGAGGGAGGGAGGGGAGGGGAGGGAGGGAGGGAGGAGCCTCGACCGGCGAGCCTTGTGGGAGTGGCCGGTGGGCCCCTGGTCGTGTCCCGGGGCACGACCTGGACCCGCCGAGGTGCCGCAGCAGATGCAGGCTGGCGTCAAGGCTTCCCGTGCAGCCTCGGTGAGCTTCGCTGCCCGCCAGGCACTGCTTCAGAAGCTCCTCCTCCTCCTCCTCCTCCTCCTCCTCCTCCTCCTCCTCCTCCTCCTCCTCCTACTCGCAGCATGCCTGCTAGCAAAAGGTCCTAACTGCGCCTTGGCGCTCCCGAGGCCAGAGTCTTGTGGATGCCGTGTTTGCGATCGCCTGATACCAGGACCTCCACCTCCACGATATGCACGCGCTTCGGCAATCACGCACAAGGACTGCATGCTCTGAGCGTACTCCTCACTCCCTCCGCGCGCTCCTCCCCCTCCCGCCACCGGCCGTGCCCTGTTCGGCCACGCGCACTCCACGTCTGCCTTCTGCTCGGCGGCGAGTGAGGCGGGAAAGTGAGCAGGCGGAGACCTTCTCAGAAGGCTGTGGGTGCCATGACAGTGGACACTCTAACAATCCGATCATCGAATTGAAGATGTGTTTAAAATGTGTTTGAACAAAAAAAAAAAAACATGTTCTAACAATGATTCAAGCATGTTTCAAACATAGTTAAAACAGCTTTGAAACATCTTTTAGACATCTGGAAATGATTTGGCAGCACGCCTCCTCTCCAGTAATCGACTTCCACAACCTTGGCGCTCCCGAGGCCACAGTCCCCAGTACATGACGCCAGGCTCGCGCTCCGCAAGACACCACCCTCTTGTAAATGATAGCAAAAAACTGAATCCCGAGGCCACAGCTTCCTAAGTGAAGTCCAGCAACCCCGAGGCCACAGCTTCCTGGGTGAAATCCAGCAACCTTGCGCCCCCGAAACCATAATGCCTCGTATACGTAAATTACTACGCGCTGGCGCTCCCGAGGCCACAAGCCCCTTCTAGCCTGCACAGGTGTCGCGGTCCCCGGGCCCAAATCCTTAGCAAGTTGCCTATAGCTTGCGCCCCCGACGCCACTCTCCGTGGTGAACTACGCCAAGCTCGCGCTCCCCACGCCACGGTCCCTGGCAAAAGGCCCCCATCTCGCGCTTCCCCAGCCACGATCTTCTGCAATCTGCTCCACCTATCTCCACCTTCGCGCTCCCGAGGCCACGATCACTCGTAAATGCCACCAGCCCTCTCGGCGTCAGTGGCCTAACGGCCTGTGTCTTCTCGCTTCCACAGCCGCGTCTTCCCCCTCGAGGAGGGGGCCACGGTTTACTCCTCCCCAACCCCCCCCATGGGTCTGGACGGGTCCCAGACGGAGGGGCTGGAGCGCCCAAGATTGTCCAACATGGCTCCAAGAGAGCTTCCGCTATTCCAAGATGCCTTCCAAAATTGCTCACGATAGCCGAGGATGGTTCAAGACGGCCTCCGTCATGCCTCCAAGAGGCCCCAAGAGAGCCGCAAGATGGCTTCAAATGATCTTGGAGCCCCCAGCGGACCCCCCCCAAGAGGCCAACAGCCTTCAGAAACCTAAAGAGAAAGTTTGCTAGCATTGACCTCAAACAGTGAGGTCTCGCACTCCAATTGGCAAGGCTCTAATGAGCAGGCAACTGGGCCTTCTGCGGGCATGACCCGACCCCCGCGAGGGCGGCCCGATCCCCGCGAGCCGCCCGCGGCCAAGGACGGTTCGTCCGCGCGGGCCGCGCGGGCACTTCGAAGAACATTTACGATTTCGCAATCGCTCTTCGCTCTTCGCACGACAGAGGCACGAAAAGGTACGAAAAACGTACGGGAGGGCAAAAAAAAGGCACGACAAAGCACGAACAAGGCACGAAAAGACAGGAAAAGGCACGAAAAAGGAACGAAGAAGCACGAAAAGGCACGGAAAAGGCACGAAAAGGCACAAAAAGGCACGAAAAAGGCACGAAAAGGCATGAAAAGGCACGAAAAAGGCACGAAACAACACAAAAAAAGGTGCTGCTCAGACTCTTGGGCGCCCCCAGACTCTGGGGGTTTGGGGTTGCTCCGACTTTGTCTCTCGCTGTCCGACTGTGTCTCCTCGCTCCTACCCCCTGCCTCCTTCTCCTGGTCCTCCTCCCTATTTCTCTTCCTACTCCCTCTTCGCCTGCTTTTCCAGTCCTTTTCTTCCTCTTCCTCCTGTTCCTCCTCCTCCTCCTCCTCCTCCTCCTCCTCCTCCTCCTCCTCCTCCTCCTCCTCCTCCTCCTCCTCCCTCCCCCTCCTTTCCTCTCCTCTTCCTCCTCCCTCCTCCTCCTCCTCCTCCTCCCCCTCCTCCTCCCCAAGAGGCCTCTAAGACGCCCAAGATGGCCTCCAAGACGGCACTGAAGCGCCTCAAGAGGACCCCACATCGGTTCAAAGAGGCCCCCAAGATGGCTTCCGACGGCGTCAGACCCGTCAGACGGGCCAGGAACGCTTCAAGACGGCCAAGGAGAGGCCCCCAAGACGCCCCCACGGCCCCCAAGAGGCCTAAGGAGGCCCCCAAGAGGCTTCCAAGAGGCCCCCGGGAAGCCTCCAGGAGGCCCCACAAGAGTGCCCAAAGAGGCTCCCAAGAGGCCTCCTCCTCCTCCTCCTCCTCCTCCTCTTCCTCCTCCCTCTCCTGATCCTCCCCCTCAGCCTCCCCCAAGTGTTCCCCGAAGAGTTTCCGGAGCGGCTGGGGGAATACATAATCAGATAGCTTGGCCAAGCTGGGGCCCAACGTTTGGCCACATAGGCGCTTCTCAAAAAGGCTGGGGGCGGCGGTGATTCGCCGTAGGCGTCTTGGATCCGCCGCCCCCTGTGCTTGCCACAGGGGTGGACGGCGTGCCAGACATTTTGCTGCTCTTCTTATTTTCAAACCCTTCCCAGTGGCCTTCGGCCCAGACCGCCTGCCCTCGGAAGGACCAGAAGGTGTGGCCACATCGCCACTAAGACGGCCCAAATGGCCCAAGATGGCCACCAAGATGCCTCCAAGACGGCTAGGATCGCTCCAAGAGAGCACAAGACGGCCCCAATATGTTTCCAAGACGGCCCAAGATGCAACTGAGGCGTTCCAAGATGGCCCCAAGATGGCCCAGGACGGCCCCAAAGGCCCCCAAGAGGCTTTTAATGCAGTCCAAGAAGCCTCCAAGGGGACCTGCAGGAAGGCCCGAAGAGGCCAAGACAGCTGATTTCCCGTGGGCTCTTGATGGATTTTAACGTTTTCGGCCTGCCGACGGCCCAGTGCCGCCGAAGAGACCCCCAAGATGGCCCCAAGAGCGCCCAAGAGGCCTCCAAGACGGCCCCACGACGGCCTCCAGACGGTCCAAAAGGCCCCCAAGGCGCCTCCAAGACGGCCCACGAGAACTCCAAGGCGCCCACTCGTCATCGTGGTTGTCGCCGTCATCGTCGTCGTCGTCATCGTCGTCGTCGTCGTCGTCGTCGTGGTCGTCAAACCTCTTCCAGTTTCCTAATCAAACCCCTCTCCCTCTCCCTCTCCCTTCCCCCTCCACCAACCCCCCCACCCCCCCTCCACCCCCCCCTCCACCACCCACCTCAGCCCCCCCTCCACCTCCCCCTCCACTCCCCGTCCAACTCCCCCTCCACCCCTTCGGATGTCCCTTGGAACCTTTTTGGGAGCACCCAGGGGGCTCCAGAGGGCCCCAAGAGGGCTCCAAGACGCGCCCCAGAGACCACTGAGAGGTCTCATCCAGACGCGCTGATCGATGACACCTACTAGCGGTTTCTGAGGCCTCTCTTGGGCCCCTCTTGGGCCCGTTTGGGGGCCCTCTTAGGGCCTTCTTGGAGCCATCATGTGGGCCAACAAGGGGCCCAAGAGGGCTCCAAGAGGGCCCCAAGAGGGTTCAGGAGTTATGTACCAGCGGCCGCTGGGTTGGTACATAATTCCTGGGGCCCTCTTGGAGCCCTCTTGGGGCCCTCTTGGGGCCCTCTTAGGGCCAACCCGGGCCCCAAGAGGGCTCCAAGAGGGCCCTCAGAGGGCCCCAAGAGGGCCCCAAGAGTGATGTACCAGCGGCCGCTGGGTTGGTACATAATTCCTGGGGCCTTCTTGGGGCCCTCTTAGGGCCAACCAGGGGCCCAAGAGGGTTCCAAGAGGGCCCTCAGAGGGCCCCAAGAGGGCCCCAGGAATTATGTACCAGCGGCCGCTGGATTGGTACATAATTCCTGGGGCCTTCTTGGGGCCCTCCTAGGGCCAACCAGGGGCCCAAGAGGGCTCCAAGAGGGCACTCAGAGGGCCCCAACAGGGCCCTAGGAGTTATGTACCAGCCCAGTCTTAGGGACCCCTTGGAGCCATCTTATGGGCCGATGTCCCACGGGGACCACCGGGTAACTCCGATGGCCCACGGGGGATACCGGGTAACTCCGATGTCCCACGGGCCGATGTCCCACGGGGACCACCGGGTAATTCCGACGTCCCACGGGGGACACCGGGTAACTCCGATGTCCCACGGGCCGATGTCCCACGGGGACCACTGGGTAACTCCGATGTCCCACGGGGACACCGGGTAACTCCGATGTCCCACGGGGGGGCACCAGGTAAATCGTGCCCAAACCCCCCCTTGCAATGTCGAGTTACCCGATGTTCCCAGGGGGACACCGGGTAACTCCGATGTCCCACGGGCCGATGTCCCACGGGGACCACCGGGTAACTCCGATGTCCCACGGGGGACACCGGGTAACTCCGATGTCCCACGGGCCGATGTCCCACGGGGACCACCGGGTAACTCCGATGTCCCACGGGGGACACC